CCCACCCCTACTCCTACAAACACATCTCCCAACATACTCACATAACTAAAAGTAATTTTTAATATTTCCTTTGTAACACAATAAAATCTACTATTGAAAATAGTCAATAGTCTATTTGAAACTGTTGAAAACTTCTACTGAAAAAAATACTTTCTTCAAGACTTTTTTCACGGGGATAATTTTTACAGTTAAAATCACGGTATATGTACAATCTATACACAACTATCCGCTAATATCAGAAGTGATAATCTAAGTTACTTTGGAGACCTTGCAACTATCACAAAAGTACTTTCAAGGGCCCCATAACAGTCTTCAATGGATGCCTAAACCTTTAGTCTGATATTTTCGATTATAATTAATGTTTAGTCCCTATTTCCAGCATTTGAACAAAGTGTCTGAAAAGGAAGCAACCATAAACTTAGTGTTCTTTACAACCCTGTCAGTGTGGTCTACATGTTATTAAATTCCTCCTATATGTTAGGTCCTACACTGGAATAATCCCTAACGATGCTGAATCTTCCTTGGTTATATTCTATAAACCTTTGACTTCTATTAAAGTATAGTTCACCCTCCATATCTGTGTTTCACATCCACAGATTCAACGGACCAAAGGTCAAAAATATTCAGGGGAAAAATTCCAGTATGTTCCAAAAAGCAAAACTTGAATTTGCCCCATGCTGTCAACTATATACATAGCATTTATATTATATTTAAAACTGTGTGGCATTTACATTGTATTACATAAGTAAAAGGAGGATGTTTTAAAGTATATGGGAGGATGTGTGTAGGTTATAAGCAAATAAACACCATTTTATATAAGGAACTAGAGCTTCCGAGGATTTTAGCGTCCAAGAGGGGGAGTGGGGAGTCCTGGAAAGCAAAACCCTCCATATAGAAGGATAAATGTATACACCTGAGATCCTCAGTTTTTAAAAAACAGGTAAAAGCAGGTTCATAACAACAGACGTGGAACTATACCATTTGGGGACAATGAAACATTTATTACACATATTTTAATTTACATATTAAATACTAAGTAGTTATCTCTGGATGGTGGGATTATAGGTGATTCTCATTTTTTATTTTGCTTATTTGTATTATTTCACTTTTTTAAAACAAGGAACATCTATAAAAATAATGAGCTTCTTCTACCCAATATGATCTCAAATTACATACTTCTATACAAAGTTGTGTGTATATGTGTACAAAAAAGTCTGGAAGGAAATGCATTAAAATGCTAATAGTGTTTTTCTCAAGACAGTGATCATTTTTTGCTTTATATTTTATACCATTCTGTATTCTCCAGTTTTTTTAAATAATAAGCATGTATTACATTTACATTATAAAAAAGGTGTTTTTTAAGACACTAACAAAATTGCCTGTGATTCAAGCACAGACAGGATCATCTGCCTTTTAACAGTTCATCTGCACACAGACCCTGACACACACACTAGTTCCTATATGCACCTGTTCACGTACACATGCTCATTCTCTCTCACTCACACATAGACACACACAAATCCAAGGCTAGGACAGAAACTGCAAAGGACCTGAAGCAACTAAAAGGTGCAGCCAAATGTCCCTGGGGAGTTCCAACTGCCTACCAGCAGAGGTGCAGGAAAGAAAGGCAGGGAGACCTGTGCATCAACACTTCCTTCAGCAGCCTACATGCAAGTACTGAGAATGGCAGACAGACCACAAGGTGACTGAAGGGCATTCAGTGCTCCAACGTGAAGGGTTCTCTGGAAAGAATCAGTGACTGTTAAAACATAAATGCTTATGTGAGTGCTGTAATAAAATGTGAAAATCTTTACAATTATAATTAATTTCTTTGGAAAGCAAAACCAAAAGAAACTAATCCTTTCTCATAATACTTATAATTTATTTTGCAATTTCCGCTTTCTACATTGGTGTTGAGTACAAAACCATCAGTCCTCTCAGTATGAAGGGGTCATGTCAATGAGGAATCTTCAGAGATAGCAGAGACCTTAAAAATAACCTGTTCCAAACTCACAACTAGTGTCTGGCATATATGACTGTAAATTCCTATTTCAAGAAAACACAACCAGAAAGCTCCACAGTAGTCCTCTTTCTCCTCCTGACTCCTGCTAACACTGTGTTATATTACACCACACCTGATCTATCACCAGATGATGTAATGAGATCCAAACACACCATGACACTGCTAAAGAAAGAGGGTCACAAAAGCCATCTGTATTCTGAATGGGAACGGCGTCTATTAAAAATTCAGATAATCCACTTAAATAATTTAAAAAGCTTCCTTCATAAACAGATTACATAAGAGAGAATGAACATGCTACCTTTGAAAATTTGACAGTAACCCAGATAATCTAGTTGCTATCATCAAGGACAGTAATGTGACCAGCCTAAGAGTCTCATGCATTCAGTATTTTGAAATCTCAGGTGGAAAGTACAAAAATTTATCATCTTTATTGCTGTTATCTAGCCAGCTTATCCAAACTGTTCCTATGGTTTTAAAAAAAAATCACGAATTTTTAAAAAGAGTTCTTATCTTTCAGCTATTTATGGATGAAATGTCAAGTATGTGCTTCAAAAGTAATCTGGGGGTGGGGAGTGGTGAGTTTACAGATGAAGCAAGACTGTGAACACTGAGCGATGACTTGGGGACAGGTAGAGTGTTTCACTAGATTAGTCTCTCTATTCTTATATATGTACAAGATTTTTCATTTTAAAAAATAAAAAATATTTATCATAATGTAGAATTTTTTACTTTTTCCCAAACTACTTCACCGTCAAAGTGTATTTCTTTTCTTTGCTTCTCTATAATGTATTTCAACACTGGACTTGGAAAAGCAAGCCTGAGTCATAACCAAGGCTAGCAAAGCTTACAGACACAAAAATCAACCTTTCATTACCCTGTTAATTATCTGCTCCAAAACAAGAGCTCTCTTCATCATCCCAGGAAGCTCATGTAAGTCAGGTACTTAGATCACATCCCACATTACTTCTTCCTGAGCAGTCTAGGAGAGCAGACAGAAGGGGCAATGCCACAGATCTCCCCAACTCGCCCATCCCCACCAAATCCTGAGTCATCCCTGCCTTACCCTTAAACTTAACATTCCACCAGGAGCTATCAGAGCAAAGAATGTTGACTCATTTCTACTTTGTACTGACAAAAATCTCAGCCCCCAATAGCAACCCAAAGTTTTTCCCACTGTGATCAATAAGAATGTTTCAACAGAAGGTGGTTTTCAAATGAAAAGGATTTTATGGAAATCAATGAGATGACACTTTGTGGGAATATTTAGGGCCACCAAACCTAAGCTGAAAGCCATCTAAACCTTAAGAGCCAAAAGGCCTAGTTCAAGTCCTAGTTCTGGCACTGACAATCTCTGAGGCCTTGGGAAGTTATTTAACCTTTCTGGGCCTCCAGTTTCCTGTCAAGTAGGATGAATCCTGTCTGCCTACTGTCACCTCAAAGAAAGGTTGATGATCCAATGAAAATATAAATGAGCCTCACTTAAGCTGTAAGGTAGAGACTGGGGTCAGATTATGGTAAAGAGGAACAAAAGTCCCACTTTCCTAACATCTTTGATTGGTGTAACGAGGAAGGGTGTGTTTGGAGAAAAGACACATCACACTAGTTAAAAACAACCAAGGATACCCAAGGTGCTCTTCAGCCCAGGGGCAAAAAGAAAAAAACATAAAAAAACTTGAACCAGCAATCACAATCCACGTTAACCATACCGGAAATTGTCAGTCATGTATCTATCTCTCTGCCCATTAAACTAAGAGATGGAAGACCATCCTGAGCAATATCTTCCAACCCAGAGCTAAACAGGAGGGTCACACTGACCCCAACATTCAGGATGCCCACAGAGGCTTGCACATCTTCCCAGGCTGAAAACTCAACAAGGAGCCCTGACTCAGGATGAGCCAGTTCTTTACATGACAGCTTAACGGACACTGAACCCTCAAGGGGTACACGGATAAAGGTTCTTAATGTTATGACAGACACCCTAAATGGTAGGGTGTAATTCTACCTCTTAAAGATCTCTTGGTTTAAACATGCATCTGTACACCCACTTAACACCCACTTAAACTGAACACCCACTTAACAACTGTCTGCACGTGTGAGAAGTCAATAAAATACAAAACCTAGCAGATCAGCATTTTAGGGATTTTCCACTGCTAAATAAAATATTTAAACGTTAACACTAGTAATCTACTTAATGTCTATTTGGGTTAACTGCAGAACACACAGTCCTGATGCCTTCTTCACCTTAACTTCCATAAGTGCTGGAGGGGGAGGAGAGGGAAGGCCTGGGTCTTGAGGCCCACCTCCCAAAGCAGCCACGGCATTGGGAGCTTCAGGGGACACCTGCCACACTGCACTGTGCATTCCTGTCCAGCATCTCACCTGTCCTACAAGAGTGGAGGTGTCCCGAGTGGAGTTCTACTCGAGTCTGCATTCACCACGGTGCTCTGAGGCTCATTCCCCACCTACCAGGGTTCATCTCTTTCCCCTCTGCACAGAAGGTACGGAAGTGAAAATTTTTAGAGTTCACTGTCTCCCAAACAGTAAGCTAACGAATTTACGTAGAACATATGCCAATCACACACAGTAAAGTAACTGCGCTTAAAATAGGTGTCTATTAACATGATCTTCAGCGTCCAAGTGCAGCCTCGACTTTGCAGACCCAAGGAGAGTACTACTTCAGCCAAGCCAAACCTGGGCGCTCAGCTGGCGGAACCGCTAGCACTTACCCATGCAGGGGGCCAGTCTATCGGGCAGCCTGGGGACATGTTCCCAAGCCAGGAGCACCCCTCGATTTAGGAAAGATCCAGCTTGTGTGGCTTGGAATGGCAAGGAAAAAAACTGACTCCCAGGAATAGAACCTCATTAAAGGGGGAAGAGGTACTGACAGAAGTGAATCAAAAGAGAACGCGGGACCCTTGGCCTTAACAGTGCACCCCGCGACCACCGCACGGGGCCAGGCTCCCAGGCTGCGAGTTACCTGCTCTGCCCCGTAGACGGTGGCGAACTGGACGAAGTCCTCGATGCGGACGAAGCCGTCCCCATCCCCGTCCAGGGCATCGAACACGGCCCGGAGGCGGGGGCCATCCTCCGGACACCCCGAGGACTCGCTCGCTAGGGGGAGGGTCTGGCTGAAGTCCGAGGGCCGGTCGGGGTCCCCGGGACCCACCTCCAGCGCCGGCTCGCCCACCGTGGGCGAGGGGAAGGAAGGGAAAAAATCGACCTCGCCCCTCAGGTGGTGGCTGCGGCTAAAATCCTGCGCGGGGACAGACGCGCTGTGCGGGCAACTTGCGGGGCCGTCACCCTCAGGCTCCGTAGTCCAAGAAAAAAGTGGGCCGAGTTCCAGCAGCGGCGGGTCAGGGTCGGGCTCCTGGCCGGCACG